AAAGACAGCCAGCCATAGCATAGTCTTCTTACTCAATGGAAACAGACGCAGTTTCCTCAAAACCATATTAGAAAAAAATGTTTCCCTGGATTTACCCTCTGGCTTTGGTCCTTGAATTATACTGTGACCCAATTAAGTCAATGAGAAAACCACAATAGCGACACAAAGCCTAGACCAGTTTCTACTTCTCTGTGCATGGGGGTTCTCACAGTGCCTATGAAATGCACACAGTGTACACAGATGTTTTGTCAGAAAAGAATGGCAATAATTCACCTTCCAATAGGAAAAAATAGTCACTGATACTCACTTGGTACTTATGTCTCACTTGGCAATCAGCATAGATGACTAATTCCTGTTTTTCCATCTACCTAATTGCAAAGAATTTTTAGGAGGAAAAAAAAACAGTTTAAGTATTTCATCAAAAATGCTTCTGCTGTTGCTATTACAATTATTAAACATATTTCCCTAGTCACTCTCAAATTTTTAACTGTAACCTTTATGTGGGTTCTTATACTTTACAGTGATATTTTAGTAAGAATACTTTTTAAAAAAAATTCATTGATACATTTCTTAAATTATGAATGATTTATATGAGATGAGAATATACAAATTAAAAATTGCAATGACAAAAATTTAATTTTAGGTACCACTAAAAGCAAAACACATGTTATATCAACATTAAGTATTGACTTATTCCATGCTAACTGAGCCCAATGCTCTGTCATAGAGTCACCTTCATTGACTGCTGTAAGGCTAGTCTGCTTGTTATTGGGGGCTATGGAGTTGATTTTTGACACATAGTGACCCCATGTGCCAGAATAGAACTACCCCATAGAGTTTTTTAGCCTGTAAAAGAAGCAGGAAGCAGATCACTAGGTCTTTCTCCCGTGGAGCCACTCCAAAAAACCAAACTCACTGTCAGGCTATTCGACTCATAGCCACCCCTCCTTGGGTTTCCGAGGTGATAGCTCTACGCAAGTAGATTGCCCAGTTTTCCTTCCGAGGAGTGGTTGGTGGGTTTGAACCGCCAGCCTTCTGGTTAGCAGTCAAATGCCTTAGGCACTACACCACCAGAGCTCCAGGAGCCACTGGGTGGGTTTAAACAGCCAACCTTTCTGATAGCAGCTGAGCTCCCAGCCTTGCACCACCAGGGATTGAATCCAATTCTTAGCTTATTTTGCAATCCGGTCTCTGGTGTATTATTAATTTCCCAGATTTAGTACCTTAAAAATTCTCATAAATAAGTTCAAATCATTTTAATACCTCATTATCTTAGTCAGAGAGCTATCAAAAACTTATTTAGAAATACATCTACTTCTAAGCCACATATTTTCCCTGTAAATTAAACCTAGCAATATTTGTATTAAATTTTATTTTCTTAAACTTCTCTATTTCATCTATTCATTCGTTACTTGAAAATAGCTTGCTATCACCTTTATGACTAAGTAGGTTTAATGTAAAAAAAAAAAAAGACAAAATGATTAAAAGGAAACTATCTGCCTTCCTTGTGGCTGTCTTCATCCTTTGAGCTGATGTTCCATGAGGAACATAGACATAGAAAGTGAAAATCATAGTACCTTCCTCGATGTAGTCTTCATATCAAGAAATCACTGAACCTTCTTTATTTATAGACGAATCACACAGAACAATGAAAACTGAGATTCTCAGTGAAGAGAAATCCTATCAGAATTGAGGAGTAGGTAGGTAAGACACGTATGGTTTAACATAGCATATACAGCATTTTAATATAAGTTTAGACTGTTCATTTCATACTAACTATAGAAATAAAGCTGTACCAAATCTGCTTGGTTGGTGGTGAGCCACAAAACATACAGAATCTTAAGCAGAACATATATTCACTCCTATGGAAAACATTGGAAGCTCTGGTAGTGCAGTGCCTAAGGCATTTGACTGCTAACCAGAGGCTGGCAGTTCAAATCCACCAGCCACTCCTTGGAAGGCAGGTTGGGCAATCTACTTCTGTAGTGATACTGTCTCGGAAACCCAAGGAGGAGTCGTTATGAGTTGGATCAGACTAGATGGCAGTAAGTATGGAAAACATTATCATAATCTCTGGGAAAGTGTATGAAATATTTTTGATCATCAAAGCTGGGCAAAGGTTTTAAAAGCCTGGGAAACACTTAATTTAAATGAATCCTGCCATAGGGAGCTGCTGGTCATGCACAGAAAAACAAGCTTTGGGGGTGCAGAAAAGTCATAGACAATATTGTAATTGAAGGAGCAAGCTAAGTGATCAGTGACTTTAAAAAGTCTGCAAAGTTTTGTAAACATTGTTCTGGTTACCTAGTGCCACTCTGACAAGAATATACCACAAATGGGATGCCCTTAAGAAACAGGACTTTATTCTCTTACAATTTGGAGACATTAAGCCCAAGTTCAAAGTGACAGGCTCTAGGGGCTAGGTGAAAGCCCCTCCGCCTTGGGCTTCAGCTCTGCCTCCAGCTCCCAGGTTACTAAAGCTAGAGGCTTTTCTTCACTCAGACAGCTGCTGGCTGCTGAGGCTGCCAAGCCCAAGGGTGACAAGTGAAAAGGCACCGTCCTGATGTTACCAAACCACATGGCAGGCCATTCAAGTCCATTTTAAGTTCTCAGGTCAGCAGAGCATGGCAGGCTGCTGAACAACAACACGGCTATATTCAGGGTCTAAGCATGCCATAAGCTAGAGAACATTCCCAAAGCTGCTGCTTATATACCGGAAGCAGACAACATACCCAAAGGCAGCTACTCAGCTGCTCACAGTAGATTCTACCATGGAGTTGATTACCAGTCTCATCATGGGGAATACTACATCCAGCTGCCCAGCCACTCAATCAGATTAGCCAAGTTGACACAAAAACATAACTACCACAAACATGTTTATTATAAAATCAATCCATAAGAATAATGAGGTCAAGCTGATAAACACAAAAATTTTGAAATAGTGGTTATGAGTGACAGCAGCAGTCATAGTAATGTCAACAAAATTTATGTACTCAATATTGAGAAAAATACTTATGCATAACTATAGGAGTTGCAGATGGTCTTGTTGTCCTAGTTTAAAGACACAAACTCACATTGCAATTTGTGTCTTCTTTTAAACAGACCAGAAGAATTGTCATTCAAAGTGTATTTAAAAAGAAATTAACCTGGTGGCACAAGTTAACATGCTGGCAATGTTAAAATGTTTACACATTTAACATGGTTATTTGAGCTTTTATTACCATATTTTTAGTTTAAAATGTATTTTAGAAGATAAAATATAGTCAAATGTTTTCACATCCTCTGACACATCTTCCTGAAATTCTTGAAATTTAATACAAGTTTAAAGCCATTGACCTAATACGCCCATTTATTTTTCAAATGATAAAACTTAAGCTCAAAAATTTGGCCAAGGTCACAAATCTATGGAGGTGACAAATGAAGGCTACAGTCCCCAGTGCTTTGATTCCTAATCTTTTTGTTGCTAGTTGTCATCAACTTTGCTCCCACTCATGTGACTGTATGTGTAACAAACCAAAGTGTTGCTCAACCCTGCACCATCTTCATCATTGTTGGTATGTATGAGTCCACTGGTGCAGCTATTACGTCAATCCATCTCATTGAAGGGCTTCCCATACTGAGCTTTTTATATTTTTCAATATTTTGTTACACCAGGAACAGATGTGCTTTAAAAATAATCTCAAATACCAATTACATATCCATCATTAAAACAAATTGCTCTCAATTCTAATCTCATGATTTTAAAATCAACAAAAAGGAAAAAAATACTACCTTTCTTCTCCCTACTTTACTACAAATTCAGTAGCCTATACCATAGAAACTAGGAAGGCAGGGATCCATTCATGGCATGATGGACAGCTGTCTTTCCAATGGCAAATTAAACTAAATTCCATCATCTTTCACTCAGATCACTGCAAAGACTGACAACCTAGCTTCCACTCTTGCCCTCCCTAGTCTCCTACCCACTAACACCCACTACCAGCAGCCAGAGTAATCATACTCAAGCATGTATGTTTCCTATGTGGTCTCTTAGTTTTGTTGGTTTCCCTTTGAATTTAAAATAAAATCAAAATTTCTTAACTTGACCCATAGTTGCCTTTCAACCTCGTCAGCCTCTGCTCATGTCACTCATCCCAGCTCACTATGCTCTTGTCACAGCATCCTTCTTTCAATTCCTTGATCCTCTGTCTGAGCCCTCTTCATCACCACTTCAACCATCCCCACCACTGCCCCACTTCCACCTCCCCTATTCCCATTGGTGGTTTCCTGTTCTTCTTTCAGGTCTCTGCTTAAATAACACCTTGTCATAGAGACCCTCTAACTCCCGTTTGTATAAAGCTCCAGCACACATTTATGTCCCATCATAGAACTTGTATTCTTTCTTTTTAAATATCTCATAATTGTAAAAATTAGTTGACTTTTTTGATGTGTGTCTTCCCTGCTGGGTGGTAATCTCCACAAGGCAGGAATTCTATTTCATTCAGTTCTCCATACACAAAATCTTGCACAAGCTCTTTCACATAGTAACTATCCAATAAATGAATAAGCACATGGCACATGCTTTCCTATAACTTTGTCTTCACCCTCCTTTAATACCAGACTAGCCTTGATTCTGAGCCATTAATATAAATACAATAAATTCATGATTTTTAGAATGATTGCTAGAAAAAAAAAAATAAGGGGAAGAAAGGAATAGAGCTGAACTATAAAGAATGGGCATATATTCCATAGAAAAAGTTGGATGTGGAAAACATTCCAGGTGGGAGCAGCATGAACAAAGACAAGGAGAGGAGAATCCAGGCATTTTCTAAAAACATGGAAATGAACATCTTATTTGGGGTGGAGTTTCTTGGAAAGTAGTTGCATCAATTTAGTAAATAAGGTGAGGTTATCATACAGAGAGTTGTATATACCAGGATGAGAAGGCCAAATGTTTGTGACACAATGTCTTTGAGTTATTTTATTAAAATATTGTGTTTTCTCTCTTCTTTTCATCACAGTTGCTCATGGGAATGAAGAGGATGTCAAGTGCTCCCTTGGCTACTTCCCCTGTGGAAATATCACAAAGTGCTTGCCTCAGTTTCTTCACTGTAACAGTGTGGATGACTGTGGGAACTGGGCCGATGAGGATAACTGTGGTAAGTGAAGCCACATGTAGTCAGAGCAAGTGGCAAAAATGACTTGAGAGGAGGCAAAAAGTCCCCAAGACTCTTCCTCTTAACAAAAAAGAGAAATGGGAGAAAGAAGGGCTGTTTATGAACAGGGAGATAGTTCAGGGGCCAGGAGTGTATGGAGGGATGGACACTGGGAAGAGGTAACTATGGGGAGGAAGTGGGAGGGGAGCTGTTGCACTGTGGTAAACTGTAGTCAATGACATGAGACAAAGTATATGTGAACTGCTGTATGGAAAGTGAATTTGCTCTGTAAATCTTCACCCAAATCACAATTAAAAAAAGGTTTTAAAAAAAGAGAGAGAGGGAAATGGGAAAAAATAAAACAAAATTGAAGTACAAAAAATAAGTTGCCTAAGGAAATCTTACATTTATTTCATTAACTTTAACTATTCATGCCTTTCTATGTAATGCTTTGACAGCCAGTATTTCAAGAATGTAGTTGTTGTGTGTATAGTATTTTAGCCTAGCAGACTTGCCTAGGTATTTTCTTAGTGGCAGAATGATGTAGAAATTGAGAATATGGACTCTGGAGTCAGACTGCCAGGGTTCGAACCAGGATTCAACAATAACCAATTATGTAAACTTGATAATATGCATGAACTTCTCTGTGCCTCAATTTCTCATTTTTAAAAGGGTTTAATAATTATAACTACATTATGAGGAGTTGTGAAGGTTAATATAAAAAAATACAGAGCAGTACTAGACATATGACAAGGCTATATAAGTTTTATATGCTATTATTCTCTTTTGACCTTTGTTCACTATAGTTAAAGAGGGATAGTGAGGCCTCCTAAAAAAGGAAGAATAATATGTAAGTTCAGCTTACTATTATTTAACAAACAACCATACATATGACCTTGTAAAGCCAACAGGTGTGTGGGGGTAAGGAGGGCTTCTAGTCAATTACAGCACCTGGGGAAACTTGGCTTCCAGTTAGGCTACTATTAAAATTTCAGCAGCCTTGAAAATACAAATTTATAAAAGAACTTGAATTGCCTGAATTTTACTCACTATAGAAAAAAAGAGCCTTGGAAATATTATAAAAATAAGATTCCTCACTCATGGAGAAATAATAGGACTCATGTCCTATTTTTAGAGGACAAAATCATGCATAACAGGGTTAGTTCTCAAAGTACTACACAATTAACTGCTACAGTAAAGAAACCTTGCTGTCATCACTGCCTCGAGTACCGGCATGCCTCATTTGATTATGCTTCACTTTCTTGTGCTTTTCGGATATTGCATTTTTTACAAATTGAAGGTCTGTGGCAACCTTGCATTGAACAAGTCTATCAATGCCATTTTTCCAACAGCATGTGTTCACTGTGTCTCTGTGTCACATTTTGATAATTCTATTGCATACTTAATAGACTACAGTATAATGTAAACATAACTTTTATAACTTGCTTTGTGGCAATAGTCACTTGTAGTGGTATGGAACTGAACCTTCAACAACTCCAAGATATGCCTGTATTACACATTTTTTAACACACCATTTCAAAAAACTTAAACTTTTCAGTCATCTCTAGGTTAATTAATTTTCCATTATCTCTAGGTCTTAGCAGTAGACAAAGCATAACCACACTATCTAAACTTGTGAGCTTTAGTTGGAAATACATTTGATTTAGTTAACTATGTGTTTTCTTCTTTTAAAAAGAAAAGGACTTGTTAAATAATACTAAGCAAGTGCTTAAAAACAAAAACAATTAAAACCTAGAAGAATTTTCTGCACATTACCAACCCCTTGGACTCAATCTGCTGTCAATGCAGACAGGGAGTCCTAGATAGATTGGCATGATAGCTTCCTACTGGCAACCAACTGAAAAGGTGGCAGGAGGAAAGAATAGTAACGTAGTAGAAACAGCAAATTCGCAGGCAAAAGCAGTTTCTCGATGAAAAAAAACTTTGGGATCTCTTGTTTCAGTTTTAATTTTAAAGAGACTGAGTAACAAAAGTGACAATTCTTCAAATACTAATTCTTGGAGCCATGCAACTTTCTCACACATGCTTGGGTGTCCTCAGTCTGGACTCCAAGTACCCCACATGACAGAATAAAACTTTCCCATGAAGTTTTCTTGGCTGTAGTCTTTATGGGAACAAATTGCCAGATCTTCCTCCCAAGGTAGTTTCAAACTGACAATCCTTTGATTAACAGCTGAGTGCTTAACCATTTGCAACACCAGGGCTCTTTGATGAATTTTATTAGCTCCACCTAAATTTACTAACCATATTGGTACAATGATAAAAAGACCAATGGAACACAATCAAAAACCCAGAAATAGAACCATCCATCTATGGACAGCTGATCTTTAACAAAAACCAAAACCCATCAGATGGGGGAAAGATGATAGCCTCTTTAACAAATGGTGCTGGCAAAATTGTCGAAAAAAAAAAAAAAAAATTATATCCAGTTGCAGAAAAGTGAAACAAGACCCATACCTCACCCCATACACTAAAACAAACTCAAGTTGGATCAAAGACTTAAATGTACAACCCAAAACTACAAAACTCATCAAAGATAAAATAGGGGCAAATCTAGGGTCCCCATTATAAAGCATAAATAGACTATCAAGCATAATTGAAAACGCACACACAGTGGAAGAGAAGCTAGATGACTGAGACCTTTTAAAAATTAAATTCTTATGCACATTGAAAGACTTGTCCAAAAGGGAAAAAATATTTGCCCATGACATATCTGACAAGGGTTTTATCTCCAAAATATATAGAAAACTTCAACACCTCAACACCAAAAAGATAAACAACCCAATTCAAAAATGGGCAAGGGACATGAACAGACACTTCACTGAAGAAAATATAATGATGATGGTCAACAGACACATGAGGAAATGTTCACAATCATTAGTCATTAGAGAGATGCAAATCAAAACAACAATGAGATATCATCTCACTCTAGCAATAATAGCAAAATTCAACAAGACAGAAAATAACAAGTGCTGGTGAGAGTTACAGAGAGATTGGAACTCTCATATACCGCTGGTGGGACTATAAAATGGTACTCTGGTGGTGTAGTGCCTAAGGCACTTGACGGCTAACCAGAAGGCTGGTGGTTCAAACCCATCAGCCACTCCTCAGAAGGAAGGTTGGGCATTCTACTTCCATAGTGATACTGTCTCGGAAACCCAAGGAGGAGTCTCTATGAGTTGGATCCAACTCTACGGCAGTGTTGCATTGTTTACTATGGAAAATGGTATGGCATTTCTTTAAAAAACTGAAAATAGAACTAACATTTGATCTAGCAATTCCATTACTAGAAATATATCCTAAAGAAGAGAGAGACAGGACACAAACAGACATATGCACACCTATGTTCATCACAGCACAATTCACTATAGCAAAGAGAGAGAAACAACCTACATGCCCATCAACAGATGAATGGATAACCAAACTGTGGTGCATTCCCACAATGAAATATTATGCTACATTAAAGAATAATGAAGGATACATGAATCATTTCACGATGTGGATGAATTTGGAGGACATTATACTGTATGAAATAAGTCAATCACAGAAGGACAAATATTGTATAAGCCCTTTATTGTAAAAAGTCAAGGAAAAGTTTGCTTTGTTGGTTACCAGGAATGGGAGGAAAGGGGAGGGAAAATTTCGGACTAGTTGGGGGTCACGTGTTGATTTGGGTGAGAGGAGGGATGATATGGAAAAAGTCTGTGACCAACATGATGACATTAGGGGAAAGGGAGGACACTGAAACATGCACATAAGATATAGACAACAGAAGCAAATACTATTACAAGCACAATTCTGCATTACCACTAACACCAAACACCAGGCTACAGATAAATGCATAAAGAGGTGAGAAGATCAGATGGGAGTAGGGGAACAGGAATACACCCTAGACCAAGGATAGATTTGGCTGAATATAATCTAACATATGCACTTCTGGTACAAAATTAGGCACACACGTTACAGAAGCAACAGAAGACAAAGTTGGAATAATTTCTCAGAGACAACCAAACTCCTTGAGAGAGAATTACAGGGCTTGCCAACTCGGGACCATAGTCTCAGGACACATCATGCTCAATTGGCATAACATAGTTCATAAAAATCTTGTTATACAACCTACTTTGGTCAGAACTTTGAGCTTTCAAGTGAAGACAATCAAAGGCATCTGGAAACAATGAGTCCAAGGTGAAGATGGACCACAAAAACCTCAGCCTTCATGATCCTGAGACCAGATGAACTAGATAGTGCCCAGCTACCAATGCCAATCACTCAGAAAGGGGTCAAACTGGAGATCTTGGATAGAGTGGGAGGAAAAATGTAGAACAAAATTCAAAAGCACAAAATTGATCAGAATTAGTGCCCAGACAAAGACTGGTGGAACCCCCGAGACTATAGCCCTAGGTTATTCTTTGGGCCTAGAAATAGACTCACCCCAATGCTGGATCAAATGGATTGGCTCTCAGCCCAACAGTAGAAAGACCTACATGGAGAACACTTACCCCAGGATGATGCACCCACCTATTCTATGGAGATGTACCCCTTAAAGCAATCAGCCATGAGACACCAGAGTGGCAGCATTCACATAGAGGGAAAGCGGAACAGACAGGAATGCATAGTTAAGAAGGGCACAGGGAGCAGGTAGTCACAGGAAGGGAAGTTTTTATGGTTGGGGATGGTAATCAGGACACGAAATCAAATATGCATGAACTGTTGAATGTAAAACAAACTTGCTTTGTAAATTTGCACCCAAAACACAATGAAATAAAGAAATTTACCAGCCAGTAAATTCATATGGAAGTACTACAACATTGAGGTGTAGAGATAGAAACTGGGGTTTAAATCTGGCTGTGAAGGAAAGAAGTAAAAATGGCTGCTTTCTTACCTATAAAAATGGAAATAAGAGTATTTGGCCATAGATTGTTAAGAAGATTCAATAAAATAATGTATCTAAGGTGCTTAACAGGGTACATGAGATATAAATG